GCCCCAGGGCCTTCCTCTCCACTCTCCAGTCGCCCCCTCTGTCACCCCTCTAAGGACCCTAGACGCCATCGGCATAGCAGCTCGACTCATCAATCTGCACTCTCCATCCGCACCCTCTCTCATAGCTTTCCGAACCCTAGCCGAAGCTAGATCCCCTTCGATTCATCGACAGTAGGTCAGTTGACAGCAGAAGGACCGCCTCGATGATGGTATAGGCTGGATCCGGATCCCCTACTTTGGCACCTATCATGACTAGTCAGATCTGAACCCTAGCTGAAGCCAGATCTGGTACCCCATCATCAACACCGGCCGCTCTAGTTCCGTGACCATGATGACAAGATGGCTGTGTAGACAATGAAGCGTAGCCAGGGTACGCGGAGGAAGAGGTACCCAAATTCCTTTTATGATGTGTGTTGTATTGTAGTGGTTGAACCTGGGATATGTAGATAGCGATGGGGTTGCATATTTCCTATAGTTGAGTGTAGCTGACATGTGCTTTATTGGATTAATGACTTTCGTATAAGCTGTAGTTACTAGTTAGGCGCTTATTTGCATACTCTTGCTCTGTTGTGTTGACATTCGCTAGAAGCTTTAGTTAATAAATACCTTTGTAATCTAGATGAACATCCCCTAAATGCTTTTGAAAGAGAGCGGGAGGCACAAGTCATAAAGAATCATAGAAAGATAGAAGAACCAAGGGTGGTTGTTGAGGGATTTGATGATACAGATGAAACATATTCATATTTACAAGATGAGCCAGTGGCCCTTGCAGTTGAGGTTCTTATTCTACCTTGTTTAGAGTTTAGGCGGGAGGGCCTAGGAGGGGGTGCAGATAGCAATGCAATGCTTTGCTGTCTGGATAGCAATGCAATTTGTACATGCTTCCTGCTTAAATTTGTTTCTCCAATTTTAGTGTCTGGTTCGAAGAAGACGCAGAGGAGGCTCGGCCAGCAGGATAAAAGGCAGCACTGATATCAGTCCTAGAGGAAGGCAATCTAAGAGAGTGAAGTCAACACGACCTGGAGAGTTGACTCATGGATCTAAGAAGAACAAGCAAAACTGTGCAAAAGTGAAGTGCCACTAGGCTACAGGATCTCGCTCCTATGCTGTACAACCGCAATCATTTATAAGTGATGGTTGTGTTTTATTATTACTCTAGCCTTTGTATAAACAGAAACTCATGTACACTGTTAATAGAAGCAATAGTGGCAGGAGCCTAAGGCCCCCTTTGGAACGCAGGATCAGAAAAACGTAGGAATAGAAAAAATATAGGAATGTGATTGGAATGCATGTGAAAAACAGAGGAATTTTGTTAGAAGAGGTGTTTGGTTTTGTATAAGAAAAACATGGGAAACCAATACAATGAGGTTTCACTGGATGTTTTTTTCTTTGTTTATCCTATGAAAGTTGAAGGATAGAAAACTTTCTTATGGTTTTCCTTCCCCCATTTCTTCCTGTGAACCCAAGGACTCTACGGTGCTGATTCCATAGGATTACTGATTCCTCATTTTTTCTTTGGAAATCCTATGAACTAAAGGGGCCCTAAATTTAGCATCATCATTTAATTTTAAAATTGCAATACCTGTGCATTGTGCTTATGTAATCCATATATGTAACCAATTGTTTACTGCTTAAATTTTGTAGTATGTAATCCATATCAGTACATGTGCATTGTGCTTATGTAACCATATCAATATAAAACCTGCGTTACTTGTTATGAACTAATCTCTTGAGTTTTCAATTAAAGTTCTCTTCCACTATCTGTAATCTAATGTTTACAGCTTAAATTTCACAGGAAGCTATAGAAACTATGTGAGCAGAACTGTTGCTGATGGGCACGAACCAATGACAAGTGCTGATGTTGTTCCCACGGTCCTTTGCCTCTCCCATGGCCAGGTCCACTCCTAGGTCAGCGGCAACACCCTTCTTTTGAAGAATGCTGGTATCCCGACAAGCTCTGCCAGAACAGAGACATCGGCGGAGAGAATACTTCGGGAACAGCTTGTTGCTGAATAGAAAAGTTTCGCTAATCTCGTCGAACAAGTGGATGAACTGAAGAGGAAGACAGAAAAGACTGAAAGAGAGTTTGAGGAGTTCAAGATACAACAACAGGAGGAGTACAATAAGCTATGTGAGGATATCATGTGCTTTAGCTCTTCTTCTAGTAACTCTCGGTAATCAACTCTGTTGGCTTCATGTAGTGACCATTTGTGGTTTGATGTGTATACTCGTGTGCTGGTTTGATGTGGTGAAACTATCAATGGGTTGCTGTTGATGTGTAAATAGAAATTTGTTGTATTTGATTCTCATGCTAAATAATTATGTAGACATCGTCGAATAACTATGTAGTCAATCTGTGCAGCAGTGACGATCTTGAATTACTTTTATGATGAATTGAGTGTTGGGCACGTGGTAGAACTTGGGCAGGCCACGTGATCAAATAAAAATGCGACACGTGGACGAACTAGTGCATGACACGTGAAATAGCCAAGAGACAACACGTGGGCTAATAAAAATCCGACACATGGAAGGAAGCCGTCAAACCACGTGGCCGAATCAAAAAACAAAACGTGGACGGACAGCACCGTGACATGTGGTCGAATACAAAACAGCCACATGAACCAATAAAAATATGACACATGGTCCAATGAAGAAATGACACGTGATCCAACCACAACATGACACGTGTGCCAATAGAAAATAGACATGTAGAACAACAGGGGCCCGACACGTGGTCCATTAAGAACCTGAAATGTGCAAGAACCAGAGCTGGCCACGTTGTCCAATAACAAGGTGACACGTATCCAAACCATCTCCAATACAACCTGCTATAGCAGGTACACGTGGAAAGCATCTCCAACGAAAACAACCGCCAGCGTGGATGCCCCCTGCACGCATGCCAAAACAGTTCTACGACGTTCTATTTTCGGCAAAGATCTATCCACATCTATGACGAATTTCTAGAATTGTCATAGAAGTTAAGGAATGACGCGACTTTTATGATGAACCGGTTTTTGTCATAAATTCGTCATAAAACTAAAATTATGACGAATTTGGCTCCTTCAGTGACGAAAGCTGATCGTCATAGAAGTGGATATTCCTAGTAGTGTGAGGAGGTCCAGCTTCGTGAAGAAGCGGGCGCCATGGATCTCGTCCGGGAGCTCGTCGACAACCGGTATGGGGAAGGCATCCTTGATGGTGATGGATTTTAGGGCCCGGTAGTCGACGTAGAATCGCCATGAGCCGTTGGCTTTCTTGATGAGGAGGACCAGCGAGGAGAAGGCGAAGGAGCTCCAGCATGGTCCGGCACTGGCGCTCTAGCTCGTCTTTGTGCGTCGGGGGATAGTGGTAGGCTCGCACGGCCACTGGCGCCACTCCAGGCAACAAGGTGATGTGGTAGTCGTGACTGCGTGGCGGCGGCAGGCCCTGTGGCTCGGTGAAGACGTCGCTGAAGTCGTCAAGAGTGCATCGAGGAGGTCGCACCCAGAGCACGAGTGGAGGCTGGGCTTGGACGGCCCTACGATGTCGTGCCAGCACACCTGGTGATCTCGATGCCAAAAAGACATCGTGAGGTGCGTGAAGTCCCAGAGGATGGGTCCCAGCGATGCCAGCCACTGAGTCCCAGAGGACCAGGGGTAGGACGAAGAAGTCGGGGGTGAACGGCTCCTGCTCGATGGAGAAGCTGGCTTGCCGAAGGGTCCCCAGACAGGGCACACATTCTCTGTTGGCGACGGTGGCTGAGAAGTTGCCACGGCGCTGGAGGGGCAGACCCGTGGACGCAGCCCCCGCCTCAGAGATGAAGTTATGTGTGGACCCCATGTCCAGCAGGGCGAAGAGGGTCGCATGCCCACCTAGAGGCGCACCTGCATAGTCTCACTGGTGCGCACTCCTGGGATGCGTGGAGGGAGATGGGGGGTCCTCCTCCGCGTTGGAGTCTCCGACGTTGTCATCGTCGTCATCGTCCCCCATCTCGAGCAAGAGCAGCCGCTGGCACACCTTATTGTGCCCAGGGCCGAACTTTTCATTACAGTTGAAGCAGAGGCCGAGGTGCCGGCGCTCCTCCATCTCGGCAGTGGAAAGCGGCATCACCTAGCGCCTTCGACGGTCACCGTCGCTTGTGGCGGCGCTGGAAGAGCGAGTGCCTGGTTGGCCGCGGGAAGCACGGGGCAGGGTGCATGCGCCAGGCCACGCAGCGCAGGACACGCGGGTGGGAGGGAAGCCGCGACTTGTTCACGCAACTCGATTTTGCGGTCCAGGCTCATTGCGAATGCGAGCGACTAGGAGCTGTGGATCTCAGCATCCATGCTGAGCAGCGGCCGGAGGCCCGCTGTGAAGAGCTGGATCTTTTGCACGTCCGAGAGGGTGCCCGCCCGGTGCAACAGGGCCTGGAACCAATCCTGGTACTCCTCAGCGGACCCCGTGCGTTTGCACGCGGCAAGCTCGCCCAGGGTGTTGGATCGGACCGGCGGCCCGAATCGGAGGTTCAGGAGCTCAGTGAAGCGGTGCCGGTCGTCGCGCTGGATCTACATGAACCACAGCTGCGCAACATCGAGCAAATTGTAAGAGGCCATCCAGACCCGTTCTTCTTCCGCGATGTGCTGTTGGAAAAAGTAGGACTCGCACCGGTTAATGAACGTCAAGGGATCACCTTTGCCGTCATACTTGGGGAAATCCTTCTTCTGGAATTTTGGGGGGGCGATCATTGTGGTGCTCGCCGGTGCGGTAGTGGTTGTCGGAGGAGGAGCTGTAGCTGGCTGGTGGACGTTGTTGTTCTAGGCGTTGGATGGCCTGGGAGTTGTTCTCAGTAGTGGCAGTGAGGGCGTTGATGGCGGCGGTGAGCTCCTTCAGTTGGGCCGCCACGTCGGCGGGGGACGCCGGTTGGTCATCGCTGCCTGGCATGGTGGCGTCGGCAGCTGCGTGGGGGGCTGGTGCGGGGGCGTGGGTGGGCGAGGAAGGCCTGACCGCTGGAACCAAGATGTTATGTCGCCGGTAAGGCGGCAATGGCGGAGGCGTGGATAACTCACCTCGACTATGAAGATCGTAGTCTTGGTTGGGTTGAGAGCGAGGTTTTGCCCCTCTGCTCCCTATTTTGATTAGAAGGGGACGAGATTAAGACTGGTACTTCTTCATTGCTTGCTTATTCTTAGTGCCAAATGGCTTACATAGCCTTGCGGCTAACCAACACCTCCGGTGCATGCACTAACCAAATTTAGAAAAGCTAACAATGCTTGGCTGGGCTAATTCCCTAGATGCATGGCTGACCAGCTCTAAGCTAAGGCCTACCACTCATGCTAATCTCTCCTCTAGCCACTACTTGGCGCTGATGCCGCCTTGGACTTCTTCTCCTTCCTTGTGAACTGCTTGCCCCACATGACAGATATTTCCGTGTACTGGAATGCACATGCATTTAGTTTTGCAAGTTTGAGTTTCTTAACTTTATATTTGTGCAGGATCCTTATTTTAGGATGACTCGTGATGTTGCTCCTAAAATTGGTTTTCAGAAACCTTCACTGATTGAATCAAAAAATTTCCCTGCGCTTCAGGTATTTTGTTTGGGATTTGCACTGAATGCTGGTGCAATTTGCCCACTTTTAGCTAACCTTCTCGTATTTTTTTGGTTATGGTCATGATTTCAAGTGCATTACTTTATGTGGGTTGTTTTGTTTCCTTTTTACAGGGAGAGAACACTAAAATGTCAGCCAGTGACCCGAATTCTGCAATATATGTGACAGATAGTTCTAATCAAATAAAGGAAAAGGTTTGTCCTGAGTTATGTTTAATCAGGAACAATATTTACCCAGCAATAACAGGTTTTAAGTTAAGCCATTAAAATTATGGTGAAATGTTCATTGGATTGGGGCATTGAGCCAAGTAACTTGTAGCTCTATTCTTTCATAAGCTTATAAAATTTATTTCCACCATTTTCCAGGTGAATAATTTTGCTTTCTCAGGTGGCAGGGAGTCCACAGCGCTTGAGAGGGAATATGGTGCCAACATTGATGTAAGCCCTTTCCCTGTATTCACGACCACTATTGAATACCAAACTAGTAGCTAGAATACTCTGCATTCTGATTTTTTCTTGGAAATGAGAAGTTAGATTTATGATGATACTTGACTTTGAATGATCAGCAGAAGCTACCAATTGTAATGCATGTAGTTGGAAGGCTGTTTCTCGATTAAGGCTTTCATGTCACATTTCATTGCTAACATGCTGAAGATTATAATCCACCTACAATATTCCAGTCAATTCGTATATTTCTGAAGAAACATATGATCCAAATGGGACTCGAAACATCGGTCGTTTGCAGATTTGATACTGGACCCACATTCATAGACACAGATAGACCCACTTGTCATCCACCCGAGTGTCATCATAATTCAAGAAGTCAATCTTTCGAGTGTCATTTTTGCAAATTTTTCGTCTTGTTGAGGTGGATGTCCCAATCAAATACCTAAACTTCTTCCTTGAAGACGATGATGAGCTTGAGCACATAAAGAAGGTGCATTTTTCATGCTGCTACACTTCCATTACTCTATCTGTTATGAAACTCATTACTAAACATCATCAGGAGTACAAGGAAGGAAGGATGCTAACTGGTGAAGTGAAGCAACGGCTGATTGCAGTTCTATCTGAGCTGGTTGTCAAACATCAGAGAGCTAGAGCTCAAGTGACTGAGGAGGTACGTGAGCATATATATTAGTGCTTCGGTTGATCTATCGTGTTGCACGATTGGATTCTTGCACGTTTTCTCTGTTATTCCTGCTGTGCAAACATATCTCGTAACATCCATAGGCAAACATTATAACCGAGTACTATTCTGAAAGGGCCACGATGCCTTGTCCATTCAATACAAATTTCCTGCATCGCTTTGACAATTTCTTATATGTGCAGATGGCTGATACATTCATGGCAGTAAGACCTCTTCCCAACATGTTTGGCTAATCAAGACAAGGGCTGCAGATTTTCATCAGTTGCAGAAGATAACTAAATTATAACAGAATGTTTGAACAGCGTCCTTAATGCCATTGATTGATTTACTCGGGATGGCCTGTGTCGTTATTGCTGCACTTTTTTATCTGCCTCAGCAAGCTCGATAAGTCAACCTGATCTACCCTTCGTCTCGTCAGTTATGCCCCGTTTGGCACGGCTCTGACTCGTGAAAAAACAGCTCTGGCTCTGGCTCATAAGAAAAAACAGTTTTTTCTTGCTCTGACTTATTTTGTACGAAAACGTTTGGCAAAACGGCTTCTCCTACCTTTTAAGAATGTATAGAAGATGTCAATTGTCCATTATACCCTTATCTTTCTTTTTTCTTCTTTCATTTTTTCTTTTTTCATCCTCCTTTCTTTTTTTCTCCTATTTTTCTTTTTTTTTCTGTCCTTTCTTATTTCTATTTCCTTCTCCCCTTCTTTTCTTTTTTTCCCCCTCCTTTCTCTCTCTCCGGTTTCTTTCATCGGCGATGCTGTAGTCCTGGAGAGGACTGTCCTTCGTTTTCTCTCTCCGATTTCTCTCTAGCACTGTGTCTGACCCGGCCCATGGGCACATGCGTCTTTACGCGAAGTAAGGCAAGGATGAGCCGCAAGAAGCCACAAAAACTGGCTCACCCTCCGTACTACAAGCCGGTGTCCATATTTTGCGGGGCTTATGCCTGGAAGCCGGTTTGAGCGACACCCTTTGGCACGGCTTCCCCATAAGCAGCTCCTGAAGCTGGTATATAAGCCATGCCAAAGGGCACCTTAGGTCCCGTTTGGCAGAGCTTCTCTAGCGGCTTTAGGAGCCGTTTTCTGTCAAACGGGGTAAAATAAAATGGTTCCACCGATGAAGCCCCTAAAAACGTGCTCTCACAGAGCTTTAGGGTGGGAAGGAGCCAAAAATAGTGACTTCTCTCGGCTTCACCTCATTCTACATGGCGTTCTCTGAGAGCATATTTTAAGAAAAACTATATGTGAAGCTGTGTTGCCAAACGATTTATCAAAACGGCTACAGCTCCACCCATAGAGCTGTTCATGGAGATGAAGCCTAAAAGGGCTTCATGGGTGAAGTGGAGCCGTGCCAAACGGGACCTTAGTTTGGGTATTATTCTTGACTTTGCAAGTTCGTTAGGATTGTGTCGGTTTAGGATAAGTTAGGGTTTTGCTCTGTACATATATAAGCAGGGTCACAACATTAATTCTTTTTTTTTAAACTCACAAAATTCATAGTAGTTCAGGAATAGATGAAATCTAGAATTACCCGTGTGCCTCTAAAAGATACCCGAATTCTTGGTTTGTCACACCGGAAAAAAAAATAGTCTCAAGCTTATGTTTAGTGTCTAACGTCAGCAGCTCGACAATGGTGTTTTTATTTCAAAAAGAAATGCCGTGCTGCTGACGTCACACTAAAAATAATAGAGCCCAGCATCTATTGAACTTAGTACATACACAAACGGAAACCCTGCTCTCTACCGAGCGTCCGTCCAGCCAGACAAGACGGACCCGCTTGCCCCTGCGCCTCACGCGCGCACCACACCCGTGCCTCGCGTCTCCACCCACGCCTCGCGCCTCGCGGCGCGCGCCGCTTACGCCTCCCGCCCGAACTCATGTTGAGCACAGCCGAGGTCCGACCTCCGCGTCGTGGCATCGAACTTCGTGCCAGCGTCAAGCTCCGCGTCAACGAGCGTCCATTGGGGGGCAGCAAGTAGGTGAGCACATGTTGCAACCGTATGTTTCATGCGTTTCAGATGTATGTTGTATATGTTTCATCTAGATGTTGCAAAAGTAAATCTGGTGTTGCATATGTTGTAATGACTATACATGTATGTTGCAAGTGTATGTTTCAAATGTTTCAGCTCTTTCAAACGTATGTTGCAAGTGTTTTATCTAGGTGTTGCATATGTTGCACTGGCTATACATGTATGTTGCAAGTGTATGTTTCAAATATTTTAACTGTTTTAAATGTATGTTGCAAGTGTTTTATCTAGATGTTGCATATTGTGCAGTGCCCACACACATATATTCCAAGTGTATGTTGTAAATGTTTTATCTGTTTCAGATGTATATTACAAGTGTTTTATCAGGATGTTGCATATGTTGCAGTGCCCATACACATATATTGCAAGTGTATGTTGTAAATGTTTCATCTGTTCGGACGTATGTTGCAGCAAATGCTTTATGTTGCAAGTGTTTCATGAGCAAGCGCGGCAAGGGGGCGCAGGCAAAGGTAGTCCCCTCGGGTGCAGTGGCCCCCGCGTGTGCGTGGGAAGCGAAGCGAGCACGGCAGCAGGCATGGAGCACAAAGCTGTATCCATGGGCATGGTAGCAGGCGCGGAGCACGAAGCTGTATCCATGGGCGGGCAGCATGTGCGGAGCACGAGGCCAAGCGGAGCACGAAGATGTATCCATGGGCAGGCAGTAGGTGCGGAGCACGAGGCCAAGCGGAGTACGAAGCTGCATCAATAGGGGCCCTGAGGGTATCATTATTGAAAACGAGCGGGCAGCAGGCGCAGGCGTCCGGACGGACGCCACGTCTGGACGTCCGGGCATTTGTGTCTTCGAAACCCTAAGCCAGCCACCCTACCCACTTCATCGTTCAGCGCCACCACACTCCTATCTTCTTCCCCCTTTTTTCTCTCCTACTCGGACTCCTTCTCTTGCCCCATTGCGCTCCCCTCCCTCAAATTCCTCCAACCATGTGCCATGCACTACCATAAAATGGTACAAAACACCACCATTAGAGACGACAAATTAAAACGTGTCTCCAAATGATACAATAGTGATGGCTCTATGATACGGTATGTTAGTGACCGGTAATAAAAAGTTGTCACTAATGATTTGGTTTAGAACTTGGGGAAGTGATTTTTTTTTAAAAATCATCTCTAATATTCCCACAATCATAGACGGGATTAGAGAAACAGTCATCACTGATGATTAAAACCCATCATTGTTGTTGGATCAAAAGGGACGGATATAGGAAACTCGTCAATATGCACATCATCATAGACAGGGTTACAGAAACACATCACTGACGACTAGGGGTTAAAGCCCATCACTGTTGTTTGATTAAAAGGGACGGATATTGGAAACCCGTCACTAATAGTGTACATCATCGGTGTTACATAAACCTATCACTAATGAGTCATTGAGTCTCCATCTAAGATGGGTTACATGCCCCGTCACTAATGTGTGGGTTCAGCCTAGGGATTCATTAGTTTTTTATCTACCTTGTCACTTCAAAGAAGGGGCAGCTCCTAACCATCCTTCCATAGACCGGTGATTGTCAGGGGAAAAGGAAGTTTTCGTGTGACCACTTGCGAAGCTAACCTTCGGTTTCGAAGCTGAAGTGGTTAAGGAGGACCAGTGCCACGATAATAGAGAATGCTTGGAAGCTCTATCTTACTGGAAGGGATGGCACTGTTAAGGAGGCAGTAGCGGGGGTGGCAAGGGATTTATGGGACTGGAGCCATAATATTCTAGGGGGTTTGGAGAAGATAATTAAAAAAATGAAAAAGGAGTTGGAGGCGTGCCAGCGGGGGAACCCAAATGATGAAAATGTAGCAACGGAGCAAAATACTGAAGTACAAACTAGAGAAGTTTGAAGAGTAAAAGGATATCAGGTTCAAAAAAAAGAGTAAAAGGATATCTATTGGCGCCAACACGCACATGCTCATTGGTTGAAAGGGGTGACCGAAATACAATGTTTTTCTCCATTTCGACGAGCATTCACTCCTTTCCAGTTGAGCGAACCATATCCGACAAGTCTCTCTCTTGCACCGTTTGTCGGACACGCGTGCTCGCACCTAGTCTGCATGCGCCCAGCGCCCAGTGCCCAGTCTGCAACGCTGCGTGCTGCCCTGACGTCACTCTTTAAAAAGCAAAACATTTACTTTCAAATGCTATAACTTAGCAATATATCCATTTTTATTTTCGTCTGCAACTGTGTGTTCTATGCAATGAGACGAACTAGATCCCACTTGCATATGTTTTGATTTTTTTTTCTAAGTAACAATTTATGTGTACTTTTCCCTCAAAATAATTTATGTATACTAACTTATAACATATAACTTATGTACACAAGTTGTATAGAATAACTTATGTAATACATAAGTTGTGTTTGATTACTTTTGTACATAGGTTGTGTTTCATAATTTTTATGTTTTTCAAGTTTTGGTATAAATTATACGTTAATTTGTTCCTTTGTGTTTAGTAACTTTTGTACATAGATTGTATTTCGTATTTTTTTTTATGTTTTCTAAGTTTTTTATAAATTATAAGTTAATTCGTTCCTTTGTGTTTAATCACTTTTATACATAAGTTATGTTTCATATTTTTTTTGTTTCCAAGTCATATGTTATATGTTGTAAGTTATAGGCTATAAGTTAGATGTTATAAGTTCTAGACTATAAGTTATATGTGATAAGTTAATATACATAAATTGTTATTAGAATAAAATTCTTCGAAACATATGAAAGTGTAGTCTAGTTTTGTCCATCTCGTCACGTAAAACACACCGGTATAGACGGAATTGAAAATGGATACACCGTTCAGAAGTTATAGAAATTCAAAAGTAAATGTTTTTTTCAGCTTGCGTCAGCCATGACGTCACACGCTAGTTAAAAATGAGTAGTGAGCGCGAGTTGCTCGGCCGAGCGCAGCAATGTCCAATAGGGAAAGGGTGGGAATTATTTTTTGCCAGAAAAGGAAATTGCGCGTCGTAATATCGTTGAGGGCTCGCGGATTAGTGCGTCCGGAGAGAGAGAAGGAGAAGAAGTAGAATTAGGAAATTGGTGGAGGAGGATGGGGGTATGGTGACTGAGAATAGAGAAGTACAGCGGTTGATTTCTAGCTACTACAAAAGTTTGTTTCAATCCCATGAAGGAACCAGTTACAATGATACTCCAGCATCGATCTCCAACCACGTATACCCCTGAGAAGAATCATATACGGGGGTGCCGATCCGGGTGGCAGCAACCACCTCCGCCGACCTCGTGGGCAAGCTCGTCTAGCACCACGGCCTCCAAAGCGCTCGGCGAACCGCAAGTCGGTGCTCAGCGCATGCATGCTAAACATAGAAAAGAAACATGCCAACTACCCTGCACAAGGATTACTAACAGAGACGAAGCTCAAAACAGCAAAAGGATACCAATAATCCAGCATTTTCAGTCTTCTTGACTGCCTCGTACTACAGCATATTCAATCGTCCTCCACATATCCCTTGAGCAGTCCCTCTCTGTCTTGCTACCACAAATCAATTTTCATCGAACTCGTTACAGCTTTACATGAATCTGCATGCATGGCTTGACTTGTCGGGTGCCGACTGATTGCATCTCTGCATGCAGCCTCTATTTTGGATCCGTGATCATATTTGGCAAGTATTTCCACGGTGATCTCGATCTCTACAAGGCTAGCAAGGTTCTCGATGCCATCAACTGAGTTGGATTGCACCTTGTCCACGAGCATCAAGTCGTATGTCCGGTCTCTGTAGCCGTGGCATTGCGGCTGGCTCCAACTTCAGGCATGAAAGCTCACAAGAGAATTCGAAACGCTTCAGGCTTCAGGCTAGAGAATGTGTTTGGGTGGATAATGATGTTTTTCTCTGGGATTGTTTCAGCATCTAACACGAGGTAGATGAGGCAGGGCAGCTGCCCAAGCACCTGGAAGTCATCGCTCCGGAGCTCTTGGACTTCTAGTCGATACAGATAGGCCAACCTGTCATCATGTGCCATCCAATTTGGGGCCTTGGGCATTATTACGCCGCACAAGGCAAGTTTCTGCAGATGCCGTGGACGTGACAAGCAATTACTCCAAAATTGAGCTGAGGGAGCCCTGGCACCTGATGGAACCACAAAATTCAGAGAGCGAAGGTTGCTGTTCCCAAGCTTGTCAAAAGAGGAAGCCAGGATTGTCTCTAGATTATTTTATACGGCACCTGGCCTAGAGTAATCGTATATCACCGAGAGCTTCTTAAGATTGGTCAACACACCAAGATAGTTCTTTGTCGTCTCTAAGGCATCTCAGTTTACCAGAAAATGTAGCGTTCAAAAAATGGGCTTAGCAAGTTGCGCAACCTGCGTAATCTGTTCTGTTTCGAGGTTGGGACTAATTCCATACTTGGTACACATGGCCTCTTCACTTGGGAAGCAACAGGCTGTACCAACGTCTTGAATACGTGTGGTAGTTATCACTCTGCTGGCATTGTTATTTTCCACAAAAGCGCACTCAATAGTGCGCCAATCCTTGATGCTCCATAAGTCACCAATTATGACAAAGTACCTGCAAAGTAACTTCTGTGTCAATCCTGTTTGCATCGCAATATGACAAAATAATATATGAGTAATAATATCTCACTGAAATAGGAAGGAAATATATGCCTTTTCATTGATTCAACTACAATTTTGATATTTGCTAGTAGCTGAGTGAAAAGTCATTTTGAGGGAGAACAAATTGAAATAGCAGGTCTCATGCCCAAATAGCTTTTAGGAGCTATGTGTGTGGCAATACACGACTAAAATATTTCTTGAGTATTTTTTTTTCTAAATGGCCAGTGATCGTTGGTCCTTTTTAAATTTTCTTAGTATAACTAAGACATCTTCTGGAAGTCTTTAGTAAGTGGCCAATAGTTCTTAGATGAAAATTGCTGGCTACTGATTCTTTGTTGCCAATTTATATGGTCCTTGAGGAACATATATAGATTCACTACCAAAAAAAAAAAAGAATTTCTAGAGGCAGTCAAAAAATAGGAATGCACAACCATATCTACGCAAGGTTCTCTATATCTATAAATAAGGCATTTGTAGGGGCAGCTACACAACTTTAATTGCAAATATATACATAAATCTATAATATGCATAATCGGAATATACAAGATGAGGCATCCAAATTAGACAACAGTAGTCCACAATGTGCAAGGCCCTTAAATTTCTTCAAAAAACAAACAAAACCTAGATATATTTTCTTTAGTAGTAAATTTATGTGAAAACTAAAAATTTATCCTAAACTTTGAATGTACAAAATGTAAGGTTACTACACTGAAGTATACACACACACACACACACACACACACACACACACACACACACATATATATATATATATATATATATATATATATATATATATATATATATATATATATATGGCTAACCTGCTGATCCACCTATCAATGTAGCACGACATTAATACTGAGAGGGAAATTATATAGAAAAATCAGTTAAATATAAAAATAAAGATCTCTTTGAAAAAAGATGAAATATGAACTCCAAGTATTTAATTTTTATGATGTTATTAAATAATGATTTCAATTTTTTGGCAACACTCATGCTTGGCACCCTTTAAATGAATTAAACTTACTTTGCACAGTGAATAAACATGATAGGTATTGATAAGCTTCAGAAATAACACATGCATATTGATAAGTTTACCATAAATTCCAGATAAAAACATACCTCTTAGTCGTGAGACTTTCTCTAAGGATCTCGATAAGCTTTTGGACATCATCTCCCATTTCCATATCACGATATCCAACTCCGAAGAGTATGTCCTTCAGAATCTTTGGCATGTGAGGAGTTCTAGAGACTGCAACGAACGCGCTGCATTCAAACTCATTCTTGATTTTGGAGTGAACTTGGTTTGCAAGTGTTGTCTTGCCGAGGCCACCAAAACCCACGATGGATAACACTTGAAGTCGTCCAGAATGACGGTCACCTTCTTCCATCAACCGTTTGATGATCTCCTCCCGTGGGCCATCAATGCCCACAAGCCTCTCTTTGCATCCTCATACATTGCAGGTAGCCTTGGGTCAACTTCCACCACTCTAGGCTCTAACAGACTCACCTATCTTGTATCTACCTCGGCTCTCACTCTGCTCCACGACACGAGCTTTGAGCTCTTGAATCTTGCTGGCAATCTGATGGCGCACTCGCAACTTCCTAATCTTGCGTGCAGTCTTGCGAAACAAGCCATCCTTGCCGTCGTCTCCCTCGCCAAGCTGGTGCATGAAGATGTCAAAGCAATCCTCGATGTCATAGGCCATCTCACGGACCTTGTCCCTCCACACCTTTTTCTGGCAATCGAGCTTATCCATGCCTGCTATCTTCTCCAATGCTGCATTCATCTCAGTCAACTCATCGCTGAGGATCTAATATCCCTTCGGACCCCCTTGAGGTTCTTGTACTGATCACTAAGCAGCAGCGAGAGCTTGGAGAGGAGTGAGCTCATCACCCCAGTGGCAGCGGTCACTATAATGCCCGCCATCTCAACCACCTATATCTAGCTCCCCTTTCTGTGGTTTGGGTGGTTTGTTCTCTGTGATTTGAGTGGCAGCGACGACAATGGTGTTAGGTGGTTTTAGTGAAATGGGCATAACGGTGGTCGTTCTTAATGATGCGGGAATCAGAATTGGCTTCTGTTCTTGAGATCCACGTACACCCACGTGAGAGTGAGATCGCCTCTATATTGCTTAGTTTTCTCTTGCTTAACAAATGTTAATTAACACCTCTCTCTTGATTAGGATTCCCTGTGAACTGCCACCCTCATAATAAATTCAACATTAGCCAGTGCAACTGCATCTGACTTTGCTATCTTAACAATTGATTGGGCAGTGTGTTCGACCATTTCAAAACAAAACACAGCACCGTCGGCGGAGGGATAGCTGCCACCTGGTCGGCAGCGAAGATTCCTGATCATATACTGCTAGTGCTAGGGGACTTCGCTGATGATGAAATTAAAAGGGCTTTGCATTATAGCGGCGATCTCAAATGGCGTGTACTCTCTGTTCTTTGTCAGTATTGGGGGTGGCTGGCGAGGATGTCACACGGGACTACGGGAGGTGCGTAATTTCTTGCGAGGGGAAATTCCTGACGGGTGCAATGAAATGGTGGTGGTGCTTATCCCAAAAGTGCCACAACCGGAGAGAATAAAAGTACTTACCGCCGATTAGCTTGTGCACTGTTATATTACAAGATAGCATCCATGGTGGCGTCCAACAGGCTGAAGCAAGTCCTATCCGAAATCATCTCGCTGAACCAAAGTGCGTTCGTCCCGGGACGCTTAATAACAGACAAGTGTCTTGCTCGCACATGCGTTTATATAAAACAGAAATTGCCGCATTGGAAAATGTTACATTCTAGTGCTTCATGTAATGTCCATCTCTCAGGCATACAAATGTGACCTCAAAATTAGGCTACAAATTGCAAACGTGGGTTTCCATTTTCTACTCAGTAAGGAACACTGCTCGCAAAACACAAGCACAGGCGCACAGCATGGTTTTCACTCTGCGGGATCAAATTCGCGGAAACCTTGTTTGAAATCGTCCACCATTTCAATCTCCTCTTCCTTTGAAATCTTGCAGTTCCTCCAATCTGCGCGATCTGCCATGCTTAGCAATCCTGCTAAAACCTGTGGACATGAAAAGGGAAGACAGCCAGCTGTTTAGTTTACTGCAATTTCACTACTTCCTCCCCAATTTCAACTAGTTTGTTGTTTCAAGCTAAAACTGGGCCAACGATGGTCAAGTCATACCTCGCGTCCAAACTGCACAGGGAACTTCTCGTTACTGTCGACCATGTGCAAGAGAATTCTACCTTCCGGGAGCTCAACATAAAACAGGCCTGATTTGCTTTCGCACTGAGACATCAATGATTCTCTAGCTGTTTTTGCACCGTCTGTAAAAACAAACCAGACGTCAATGGTAACAGAAATGGAATGCACCTATCATTTACTCAGGGCCAAAGCATCATAAGTAATGAAATTGAGTCGATATAACTTCATGGAAGATTATAAAAGCATAGTTTTCCAAAAAAAAAAAAACTTTCTTTGAACGAGCTAACACATTTCAAAGCTAGTTCTGGTCATTGCTAATTAAACCAAAGTTCAATCTGATCAAATCATCAACAGAGAATGTTGAAGCAACTGGTCATCGTGACTTCATAGTCCAACAAAGAATATAACAGTTTGAACCTTTACTCCTGTGAGCATTGTAATAAAAACTAAAAGCGACAATGAAGGCTATCTTAGCTCTTGACATCATGTATCACAGTAATACATCAGCAGCATGACATACTAAATAATGTTGAACGATTATAATATTAAATTATCAACCATGTGCGATAAGCAGTATGTGTTACATTTCACAAAATTGCAAATTTTGACTAATATGTAATGAAGAACATATTTCTTCCCTGCTGCATGTGGTCATGTTTTTCTTTTGTTTAATCGAAAAAACAAAAGGCGGAGGCAAAAATGCATAAAGAGTCACCTGGATTCACCATAGAGAATTCAAATCCCAGTTTTTGGCTGCTAGATGAAATATCTTATTAACAGCATCTGCTTTGGGCAATGGGACAGGAACAACCTATGCAAGAAATTGGGAGGATTACCATGTAGCATAATCAAGGCAAAGATTCTGCACAGATGCAAGTTTCATATCAGGTGAGAAGCATCCATACCTGCAGGTTTGCATGGTGGGAGCGCGGTGAAACACACTCAAAGTAGACTGCAGTCTTTCCTTGCTTCTCAAAGTACTTACCCAGAGCAATCTTATATCTCCCAAGTTCTGCCTCTGCTTCTGGAGGCATCATCAATGTACTGGGGCAGTGTTCGACGGGAATCATTAGAACATGATTTGGAACAAGTGGCCCCTTTGCAAGTGTGCAGTAGTAACCTTCTCCGATGCTAATGACAAGATGTGACTCAACATCCGGACTCGACAAGCAGAACCAGCAACTGCTCTCCACACGTCTTCTTTCACTGGAGTTTGAAAAATATGAATGAGGTAAATACCAGCACAAAAGGCATGCCTACAGAGTCAGACTGACAGAAAGAGAGTGATTGTGTACTGCTTTTCTCACCTACGAGGTCTTGCATCTGTTAGAGCAGTCTCCCTGAAAGGCTGTGAACAAACTTGCACTCTGGGCCCTTCTCACATTTCCCTTTGTTTAGAAAATCAAAACAGACATTTCTCTGATAATGCTCCACTGCCTCCTCATCATGCCTATAATTGCATTTACTCCCTCGTTGACAGGATCCTGAGGATGTAAATTTGAAACACAATCCACCCCCATCAGCTTTCACCATGCCTTTGCCGCTTGACATCATAACGCCAGTATTGCGAATCAATGTTCTCAGCTGGACGTTTTGGAGCTTCTTCAATAGGAACTGATTTTGATGGACCAACATATGGTGACAAAGTAGCATTTGGAGGCTTCGCATGGATATCAGCACTGGACATGACAGATGCTGGAGTAAGTAAATCGCATGAATAAATTTCTGAAAAGTATATGCAATAAGGAGTACACAATTAATGACTTAAATTGCTAGGTAATTACAATGTATCACTGAAGCTGCACATTTGAAGTAGAATTTTTTGGCTAGTAGGTAACATATAACTGGAAAGCAATTAGTGCTTTGACACATGTACTGAATTACTGATAATAAGAATGCCTGAATGATTTTTATAGCTTGGAAGGAACAAGGAAAGTCTTGAAACATACCCCCTCCAGTCATAAATAAGTGACGTTTTGGGTTCTGTGCAGTCTACTATTTCAAAATTTGATTCAAAATTACCTTTTATGTGTTGAATTTGGATATATTTGAAAAGAGTTGATATGAGTAGGTTTGTCTTCAAAAGTAGTTTCAAAACAGATACTTCTGCTGTGCTTTATAAATACATTACAACAACAACAACAACAACAAATCCTTAAAGTCCCAAACAAGTTGGGGTAGGCTAGAGTTGAAACCCAGCAGAAGCAATCAAGGTTTAGGCACGTGAATAGCTGTCTTACAAGCACTCCTATCTAAGGCTAAGTCTTTGGGTATATTCCATCCTTTCAAGTCTTCTTTTATTGTCTCTACCCAAGTCAACTTCGGTCTTCCTCTGCCTCTCTTCACGTTACTATCCTGGCTTAGGATTCCACTACGCACCGATGTCTCTGAAGGTCTCCGTTAGACATGTCCAAACCATCTCAACCGGTGTTGGACAAGCTTTTCTTCAATTGGTGCTACCCCTAATCTATCATGTATATCATCGTTCTGAACTCGATCCCTTCTTGTATGACCGCAAATCCAACGCAACATACGCATTTCTATGACACTTATCTGTTGAACATGTCGTCTTTTCGTAGGCCAACATTCTGCACCATACAACAAAGCAGGTCTAATCGCCGTCCTATAAAACTTACATTTTAGCTTCTATGGTACCCTTTTGTCACATAGGACACCAGATGCTTGCCGCCACTTCATCCACCCTACTTTGATTCTATGGCTAACATCTTCATCAATATCCCCGTCTCTATGTAGCATTGATCCTAAATATCGAAAGGTATCATTCCTAGGCACTACTTGACCTTCCATACTAATATCTTTCTCCTCCCGAGTAGTAGTGCCGAAGTCACATCTCATATACTCAATTTTAATTCTACTGAGTCTAAAACCTTTGGACTCCAAAGTCTCCCGCCATAACTCCAGTTTCTGATTCACTCATGTCCGGCTTTCATCAACTAGCACTACATCGTCCACGAAAAGCATACACCAAGGGATGTCCCGTTGTATGTCCCTTGTGACCTCATCCATCACTAAGGCAAACAAATAAGGGTTCAAAGCTGACCCATGATGTAGTCCTATTCTAATCGGGAAGTCATCCGTGTCTCCATCACTTGTTCGAACTCTAGTCACAACATTGTTGTACATGTCCTTAATGAGCCCGACGTACTTCGTTGGGACTTTATGTTTGTCTAAAGCCCACCACATAACATTCATTGGTATTTTATCATAAGCCTTCTCCAAGTCAATAAAAACCATGTGTATGTCCTTCTTCTTCTCCCTATACCGCTCCATAACTTGTCTTATTAAGAAAATGGCTTCCATGGTTGACCTTCCGGGCATAAAACCAAATTGGTTCATAGAGACCCGCGTTATTGCTCTCAAGCGATGCTCGATAACTCTCTCCCATAGCTTCATAGTATGGCTCATCAACTTAATTCCCCGGTAATTAGTACAACTTTAAATATCCCTTTTATTCTTGTAGATCGGTACCAATATACTTCTCCTCCACTCATCAGGCATCTTGTTCGATCGAAAAATATGGTTGAACAGCTTGGTTAGCCATACTATAGCTATGTCCCCGAGGCATCTCCACACCTCGATTGGGATACCATCCGGTCCCATCGCCTTACCTCTTTTCATCATTTTCAACGCTTCTCTGACCTCAAATTCTTGGATTGTCCGCACAAAGCGCCTATTGGTGTCATTAAAAGAGTCATCCAACTGAAAGGTTGTGTCCATATTCTCACCATTGAACAATTTGTCAAAATACTCTTGTCATCGATGTCGGATCTCATCCTCCTTCACCAAGAGATGCTCCCTTTCATCCTTAATGCACTTAACTTGGTTGAAGTCTCTTGTCTTTCTCTTACGAACCATAACCATCCTATAAATGTCCTTCTCTCCTTTCTTCGTACTCAAATGTTGGTAAAGATCCTCGCACGCTCTACCATTTGCCACACTTACAGCTCGCTTTGCAGTCTTCTTTGCCACCTTGTACTTCTCTATGTTGTCCACACTCCTATTATGGTACAAGCGTCTATAGCATTCTTTCTTCTCCTTAATAGCCCTTTGGACTTCCTCGTTCTACCACCAAGTATTTTTAGCCTCGCCTCCACTTCCTTTGGTTACTCCACACCAATGTTTTCAAGTCGTCCGATTAATCGCGATTAATCACGATTAATCGTCCTAATCGGTCCCTGCTGACTGATTATGGGTACCGTCGACTTGTACAAGTCGTCCGATTAATCGCGATTAATCGTGATTAATCGTCCTAGTCAGTCCCATGGCGACTAGGTTCGACTGGACGACTTGAAAACATTGCTCCACACACCTCTGAGGCCACATTCCGAATGTTGGTTGCTATCTTCTCCCACATGTTGTTTATGCCATCTTCTTCCTACCAAGAGCCCTCTTTGATAACCATTTCACTGAATACCTCTGACGTCTCCCCTTTCAGTTTCCACCACTTTGTTCTTTCAATCTTAGCTTGTTTATCCCTATGGGCACGCACCTGAAAACGAAAGTCTACCACCAAAAGCTTATGTTGAGAAACAATACACTCCCCTGATATCACCTTGCAACCCAAGCATGTTCGTTTGTCCTTTCTTCTTGTGAGGACAAAGTCAATCTGGCTAAAGTGTTGTCCGCTACTGAAGGTCACTAGATGAGATTCTCTATTTCTAAAGAAAGTGTTGGCTATCATCAGGTCAAAAGCTACCGCAAAGTCCAGAACTTCCTCCCCCTCCTGATTCCTACTACCATACCCAAAACCTCCATGAACTGCCTCGAAACCTGCGCTTGTAGTACCTACATGGCCATTAAGATCTCCTTCTATACAAAAGTTTCTCACTACTAGGTACAGCTCTAATCAAGCCATCTGCTTTATAAATACATTACAACAAAAAAAAAATAGCAGTCAAAATTGCATTCTGGGGACCATGCCCATGTCCAAATCACTTGTCAGTGACTGGATAGAGTAGTGTACAAATTACGATACAGCATAAAAAGGTAGTATAAACGTGAACGAACAGGTTTTTCTTTCTTTTTTGAACAAGAAGTTGGTTTGATCTGTATATAAAATTATAAATACCTGCTTCTCTTTGTTTCCAACATTAGCAAGTCCAATAAAGCGGGTAACATGCGCAGCAGAATCATTGACATATGGTTCCCTTGAATAAAAGACACCTTTAGTACCAGCAATGTGATATCTGCACGAACCAAACGATGTCACAAATCTGGATCAGCATACATTCTGTCTTCTGCTACATAATGCACAAAACACTGATTTGGTTAAGTTAGTAGTCAGCAACTGAGTATATATTATAATAATATCATTGTACAATATCAGCATTACAGCCATACAGAAGCTGCATGTTAATGCTTTAAGTTGACTTTCTCAATAATCATTTTCTTTTTGTGTATGAACTATGAAGTCCGAACCAAACCTTGGCTTAATCTCAGCAACCAATTCAGCAACAATAGGGTCATACCCATTAGGACCCAAAACCTGATTAGGCACATTGGAAGTGTCAGCCCCACTGACTACTCCAGTTGGCCATTCGTTAGTGCAATCTCATTACTGTCAAGGGAACCCAAGTATGATGCATCCAGAATAGATGCTAACACAAAGCAACTCAATATTAATACTAGCAGGCAGTGGAAGGAACAGTAATTGGGGAAAAAAAAAGGATATGTCAAGAGCAGATCGACAATCCCTGGCTCTTCTGCAAGAGCCCGCAGGGCATCCACATCATCCTGGCTGTAGCAGCCAGGCCCTCCTAGTCCCTTCCTCCCTGACAAATAAACCACCGACAAACCTACAAACAGGAAAGGTGAGAGTAAATCAGTTCACATTCAGCCTTTCAGGCATCGCTACACATTGTTCAATGAAGTTCCATATCACTTTTAAGGATGTACCAGTACACGAATAGGTTTTACGAAAGTATTTTGAACCACGAGAGGCGACTCCTGCTGCATGAGTGTGATATAGTCCAACACTCGATTAACTCCACAGTGCTCTATGTCAAAAAATTTAACTAGCCGGTAGCAAATGAAATCAATTAGCAGCAGACTAGCCAGAAAACACACCATGGAGGGTGAAGCGGTTGCTTCCCCTGAGCCAGAAGAGGTTGGGGCATATCTCGATGCCGCCGGGTGCGAACCCGCGAGCGCCAGCGGCGGCCTTCGACAGCAGCCGCGGCGCCGAGGGGCCGTAGTCGCCGGTGAAGTAGGTCGGGATGGGCACGGAAGCGCGCCCCTCGATGTAGTCGGCGACGTCCCCCGGTGCGCCCTCGGCATCTCCCTCGGGGGAGAAGAACTGCCCCACGCAGAGCAGCGCGTGGAACGGCCCCGTCGACTGGTTCACCTGCGGGCGGGCAGCGCACGGCGTCACGGACCGGCGGCACCAGCGAGAGGAGGAATAGAGAATGGTAGGTGGAGGGGGTAGCTACCGATTTGACGCGCTTGAAGAGCTGGTGGAGTCGGCCGTGGGCGTCGCCGGCGAGGAGGATGCGCGGCGGCGCCGGGCCCGGCGGGGTGGCGGCCATTGGGACTGGGTTTTGGACTTTGAGGTGGGCACGACAAAGGGGACACAGTGAGAAACTTCGGATCTACAAGTCCTTTGGGCCTGTCTCTTTGTGTGCTTACTCTAATTGGGCCAGGCTTTCGGCGTTGTGCACCCAAATTTGATTCGGCCCACACCACAGGCTTTTCTTTTTCAAGAAAAAAAAGGTACTATATTGTACAATAGACATCGAATTTTCGTACTACATTGGCATCAAAAAAATGATCCAAGTCTGAATTTCTACTGAAAAGAACAAAATTATGGAGTTAACCGCATAGGCCTTTATGACACAGAGTACTTTTCACCGGGTTCTAAGTCGTAGCAGCTGGATTTCACTATCAATTAAAGCACTGGACGGGCGGATTAACAAAATTAACAAAACTAGGATTACTTTTAATATCAAAACCTAACACAAAATAAGATTTGCTCAATCAAAGATAAAAGAACCCAATGCTTCATTCAAGAGAATATTTTTCACCTTACTAACCTTATTTTTCAACAATAAGCAACCAACGTTGATGTTACAACTCAACAGTGGCAGAGCTTGGACATGAATGAAGAGGGGGGCAATATGATCTAAAATGGAAGAAGAGGAGGACATATTAATATTTCATTAGCAACTAAAGTAGCAAAGCTAAGACTTTCATTAAAAGATGATCTAGCTTAGGAGGCCATGGCCCACTGCACTATGTAAAAAAGCCATATATCTACCACGTCACATACAGACATCAGCACAAACGCGCATGTGTAGTACGAGTTTACAGACGTGTCTTCCCCGCGCGCGTCTATAGTAAGTCATCGGCGGGGTTCCCCAGTCCGATGAGGTCAACACGCGTCTGTAGTAAGTGCTTACTACAAACGCGTGTTGGGAAAACACGTCTGTGCTAACGCTACAGACACGCGTTTGTAACACACGTCTGTAGTTGCATCAAAGATTACAGACGTGTATTGTGTTTTTTGAGTCTCAGATAACGGGTTCAAACTCTACAGACGTGCGTAGGTAACACGCGTCTGTATCTGGGTATCATATTACAGACGCACGTACGGGACACATGTTTGTAATAATATCACATATTACAGACGCGTGTTTTGTTACAGACGCGTGTTGTTAACACGCGTCTCTAGTGTGATCCTTACTACAGATGGGTTTATAAATGTTGTCTGTATTATGATCCTTACTACAGACGTGTCTTCATCTTGTTACGGACGCGCCTTTGGTAACACGCGTCTCCAGTAATGGCTTACTACATATGCGTGTTCGTTTGTCACAGTCGCGTGTTTGTAACACGCGTCTGTAGTATGCACGCGTCTGTAATAAGACCTTGGGCCTGTTCGCTTGGATGAATTCTGGAGGAATTTGGATGGTTTGGAGGAATGCTGAAGAAATTTGTGAGAGAAAAATACTGTTCCAAATAAAAAAAGAAGCGGATCAAGCCGGGTTTAAGGACACACGAACGGGGCCTTATTACAGACGTGTTATGGCATCTGTGATGTGCCTGAACACGCGCCTGTGATGTGTTTTTTTACATGGTGCTATGGCCCTCACTAAGCTCCATAGTTCAACCCAACCTGATAAAAGTGGCCAAAATCTTATCTACAGTCATTTCGTTTGATTTCCACTTTCAGAGTTAAAAATATCATATCTTTGAAAAAATGACGGCTAACGGTGTAGGGGTGTACTACCACTCCCTAGAGAAAACAAAAAATCCCATTAGTCAGTAGCTTGACCCACCAAACCCTTTAAACCAATATATTTCCTTTGTTCCAAAATGAAAGACGCTCTAGTTTTGCCCAAAATAAAATTTCTCTAACTTTAGCTTTACTATTAACTTTATCATGTGAGAGTGGTTTAGTTAATAGTCCTAGCATGTAATTCGGTGACAGGATGTGTGGTCAGTTTTATACAACTTTTGAGCATTGGCTTAGTTGCACACAAGTGTTTAAATTGTACTCCCTCGTTTCAAATTGTCAGTGAGAGGATGTGTGGCATTCTTATAGAACTTTTGTAAATGGTAATGACTTGGTAGCATTGGCTTGGTTGCGCACAAGTGATTCTCTCTCTATTTTAAATTGTAAGTCGTTCGGACTTTTCTAGATGCATAGCTTTTGCTATGCATCCAGATAAGAAGATAATACTTTTATAGTGTGAATTATTTATAAGGAGAGAGAGTACTTCATCCTTTTCAATTACAAATCTCTATTATCACCGAAAAAACAATACAATAATTCTCTTGGTAAATGATTAAATGCACAAATAATCCATATGTAGTCACCACATATGTGCACTAATTGAGATACGTCACACACTAATGGATTGATACGTTAAATCATCACATAACGATGGCACCATCTATCTCCATTCTGTGGAATGAATATATATATATATATATATATATATATATATATATATATATATATATATATATATATATATATATATATATATATATATATATATATATATATATTGCACGTGACACTTGTTCGTCATTGCACCCTGGGCAAAAAAAGAATAAATTAAAATGCGTCCAAGCGCGCGGTGCAAGGGTACAACGTTAGACACGCTCAAATTTTATTTTTATTGCTGTCTTGCTGATGTGTGGGTTTATTAGGGTACTAGTCCATTACGCGTCTCCTCATGGCGTGTCGGCGATCGATTAGAAATGCAATCATAGAAGTGAAAGCAAAATACACCATGAAGCACTGCATAGCTGCTGCAACTTATATAGAAGCAAACGGTATAGTAAGTATCAATAAGTGGTAACTGAAAATCTAGACCAACATCGATAAGAAGCCTCGGAAATATTTATGTAATAGTTTTAGTGAATCACAAACCATACTGTAAACCATCCAATACTAGCATGTTTGCTGAGAAGGGAACCAACAGGAAGGAAATATGGCAATATAGATGACACCACATTGTAAACCATCCACTACTAACTTCATAAATCACAGTTACTGCTTGAAACAGTAACTGTCGAGGACACCACACTGTAAACCATCCAGTACTAACTTCTTTGCCAGGAAGGGAACCAACAGGAAGGAAACATCGCAATACAGTTTGAGAATTTAGCTGAACACTTTAAAGTCACACTCATAAATCACAGTGATCACTTGTAATTAATGGAATTACAGTTATTGGAATTAAGAAGCAGAACAGGACCATAGCGCATAGATGTAGAATTGCATACCATTAAAGTTACCAAGCTGACCTTCACGTGTGAATGTGACCCAGATGGTAGGCTTTTTTTCATACTCTGCAACTGGACATAAGTTCCTCCCATACTTTTTTTTTCTGGTTCCCTTTTTTCTCACCTGCCTGCAGAATATGTAAAGGTATCCATCACCTTTCTTTTTTGTACAGAAAGCAAAATCCTACAAATGAGGAAAATGTAGGATACAAGGATGCAAAAATTAGAAGTATACCTAATATTCCTTGGCTGGACTGAAGCAAATAAAATACTTGATGAGGAAATAAGACAATCTAGTAGGTCTCAAAACAGGTTTTTTTGAAGAAAAAAAGTAAACCCATTTAAGTTTTTTTAAGTAACTGAATAAAAAAACAGTTCAGATCATTCATAGATTCACGCAAACAACCACTCAATTTGTTGGGAACATGCGTGTTTCGAATGGAACGATCCCGAGAATGACAACCGATAGGTCCAACTGTAGTTTTTTGCTATCTGTAATCTTATGTTAGTAAACCTAAGGAACTAAGGTATATTTGTCAAACTCCCAGAACCTTTTTCGCAGTGCCAGCATAGAGGCATATTTGTACAACCAAAATATAACTACATTGTTACGTGGGTTAGCTTGTTCCGCTCCACCATGTCCTCCATCATGTGGACTACATGGACCTGTATGGTTGTATATACCCAATGAAACAAGCAAACAAGCAAATGATCAAAATCAGTTGGATGGCATGAGGTAAGAGACCAAAGTAGCTCAGCTACGTAGTGCGATCTCGCAGCAGAAGCAAAGAACCCTCGGCCGGTCGCCACCACGGCCACCATCCTGCTGACGGCACCACCGGGCGCCGGATTGGGGAGGACGAGGATGGAGGAGAGCTGTTGCCGGTGAATCTGATTTTTCTTTCGAATGGTAGTATGAAATATAAATGTTTACGGTAAGCAATTCTAATTTCATATAAATGAATACTTTAAGCAACTATAATGCTTTCAGCATTCACAAGTATGTATGCATTTTCTATCTACTACTATCATTTGCCGAGAACTCATGTACCATCGCTAGGCCTGAGACCGTAGTACTGAAATTAAGACGCTACAATGTTGCGTTACGTTTTTTTAGTAGAAACTGATTTAACAGGTGTTCCTATCTCCTATGGGGCTAACTCACATAGTCACATGCCGCAGCTTTTCAGAGACTGCAGCGACCGCCTTTCGAATACATTGCAGATAATATAGTTTGTTCGCATCAATGTCCCAAACCTGCAAACAATGTGCCTTTCAGATTAACAATACATACATAAGTTATGAGGGGAGACATTTTCATTTTTTTGTTTCCAGAACACAAATCGTATGTGTAAGCAAACTACATCCATACATATAGAAAACAAAATCAAGGGATCAGAGACATAAGGTGGCAAAGGAGATATAGGGGATTCTTTTAGGTTACCGTAGCAGAACCAAGCAAGGTCAGGGAGGACGAAATAGAGCAGAGGATGCAACTGGTGTCGGTCGCGTCAACGGGGCCGGTCACGACGCAGGCGGAGTGGGGCTACACTGGGTGCGGCAGCGTCAGCGGAGAGCGCTCACGCAGCCGATGCGGCCGGGGCATGGCCGTCGCGGCGGCCGACGGCTGCATTGACGGCTCCCCGCACTGGCGCGCCGTTCGATCCGGCCACATCAAGCGCTTCCCGTACCGGTACGGCACCCGATCCGGGACGAGAAGGGGGAGGCAGCGATAGATCACGAGACGGAGAGGCACCTAGGGTTTGCTGTTGCCCAGGAGCAGGCGCGCAAC